AATGAGATTATCCGTCTCTCTCTTGCCTAGATTCCTGATGGATTCATTCCACCAGAAAGCTGTGGCCTTTGGTTTAACACTACAACTTCCTATAAACCATGTCACCATACCACCAGAGCACACACACAACACCCTCACACACACAACCTGCTCCCATGCCTCAGTCCTGCTTTCAGTTTAGATTTCTTCTTCAGTGCTAAAATACACGTGTGTGTGTGTGTGTGTGTGTGTGTGTGTGTGTGTAACAGCTACCATTACTGAACATTTTGATCAAAGATTCTGTAAAAGACTCCTGATCAAAAGAGGAGGAAATGAGGAATAGAATTTTTATTTTCATGGAATATGGATTTGCTAGAACTATTGTGAATGGATGACCCCTTAAAAGTATTACACGGAGAAAATATCTAAACTTTAAACTACAGTTTTTACTGAAGTAATATTTAAGCAAAAACCATTGTTGGCCTTGTTAGGTGCTGTTGAACTTGACCAACTCACTTCAACACTATTTACAAGAGAGTGAAACAATACCCAAACCTACATCATTTTTATAATCTCTCCTAGGCTTAAATCTATGTTGTGGCCTCTGAGGTAATCCACCTCACTCAGGAGCTTCTTATGTTTTTGTTGATCCTTTTCCAAGCATAATTTTTTTTGCCAGAAACATCCTGATAATGGATCCAAGGTTTGTAAGGTGAAATCTTAACTATTTTGTTTGCTTCTAAGAAGCACTCTGACTATAGTTACTCCAAATTAATCTTTCTCTCATTCTTATCAGGCCAGTTCCAACTCATAGCTGACTCTCTATCGAGTTTCTACGTTGTAAAATACATGGATGGAGACTGTACGTCTTTCTCCAGTGGAGGTGCTGATGAATGTGAAAGGCCGAGAGGGCGCAACTTTGGGATTAGCAGTGTGACTCTTTATGGATCACATTATCAGAGCAGCTTCATTAGAGAAGAATGTCTGTTTTGTGCACTATGCTGAATTATTTATGGCTGATCACATTGACTATACCAAAATGAAGAGTTAGGTGTGAGGCATGAGGGTAGTGAATTTGAGTTAATGATGGTGAAATAATTTGGAAAAAGATACTGAGAAAGGTGGCATAACTTTAAGATTTAATCAGTGTCACTGAATTGTATGTGTAGTAGCTATGAAATGGTATTGAAAGATTAAAATTAAAATGGCCCCTATAGTTCCCAGCTGAATTAAACTCAAGTTTCTATAGTTCTCAGCTAAGTTAAACTCAGGAATTTTTCCATTGTCCCGGGTAAAGCCCCACACCCAGTGTTCCAGGAAGAAAAGTCTGATCTCAGGGCAACGGTATTTCGAGAATTGGCCGCAGGGGTAGAGCAAACAAGCAGATGTTTCTCGACTGATAACCCAGGTGCCTTTGTTTCCCGACTGATAACACATGTGTCTTGTGCTTTTCCACTGCCCTGGAGCTTAAACTCATTGTATGCTTAAGAATTTGTGAAACCACCCTATACTTAATAGTTAACTACAAAGGTTGGGCAAGTATGCTGATGACTTAAGATCTGTCTAACTGCCACATGTGCAAGAATAAGATATCGCGCAAATATGCTGTGTAATCCATAAACGAAGCTGAACCAATGAATTCAAACTGTGCTTTTATCACCCAATGAGAAGCTGACACCGTGTTGTATCCCCTTAAAGTGTATTAAAAAAGCCAAAATTGTCTGCTCGGGGTCGACTCCTCTGTCTCCTGCGAGAGATATGTGTTGGCCCGGAGCTCCGCAATAAACCTCTTGCTGTTGCATCAAGCCGGTGTCTCGGAGTCTTGGGTCTTCGCCGTCCGCTCGGAACAGGACCACCGGTTCGGGGGTCTTTCAGTATATGTTTGTTAGTGTATATTTCATCACAAAAGAAAATAATTTATTGCAAATGCAATTTTTAAAACCATCTCAATATAAATGAATGGAATGATATATACTGATGTATAAATACTGATTAATGAAATGATGAAATACAAAACTATGGAAGATATATTAATTTAAAATATAAAGTATAAACAATATCCTAAGATATTATCAAGAATATGTTGAAATTAAGAGAAGCTGTGGTATATTCACACAATGGAATACTATGCTGCATTGAAAAACAAGGAACTCATGCAATATTATTCAAAATGGGTGACCCTGGAGGACATTATGCTGAGTGAAATATCTCAGTGACAAAAGGACAAATACTACATAGTGCCACTGTTGTAAAATGGGACTGATAAAGGGATTGTGAGGGAGACTGAGAAAGATGGGATAAATTATGTATACTGCATTGAAACAGATGAGAGAGAGAACCATTTAAAAGGTATATATGGTGTGTATGATCAGGTATTATTGTCATGACAGGAGTCCAGAACAAAGGCTGCATAATGGAGTGGACTCGGGGAAAGGGATTGTATAACAATGAAATAATTTTACTTTTCCAAGAGAAGAATGAACTGGAGGGAAGGGATGGGAAGGGAGAAAAGTGCAACAATGAATTAATGGAAATCCAAAATCTGTACATTTTCATTAAAGTTACTACTACTACTACCTACTATTGAAAAGATTGAAATTAAAATAGTCCCTATAGTTCTCAGCTGAATTAAACTCAGGTTTCTATAGTTCTCAGCTAAGTTAAACTCAGGAATTTTTAAAGCCCCACACCCAGGTATCCAGGGCAACAGTATTTCAAGAATGGCTAGCAGAAGGGCAGAGCAAACAAGCAGAGATTGTTTCTCAACTGATAACCCATGTGCCTTTGTTTCCCGACTGATAACCAATGTATCTTGTGCTTTTCCACTGCCCTGGAGTTTGAACTCATTGTATACTTAAGAATTTGTGACACCACCATATAGTTAAAGATCTATCTAACTGCTACATGTGCTACGTGACTGCCGCAAGTGCTATGTGCAAAAATGCTGTGTAAACCCTGAGCGAACACTGAGCCAATGAATTCAAACTGTGCTTTCATCACCCAATGAGAAGCTGATACTCAGTTGTATTCCCCTAAAGTGTATAAAAAAAACCCAACTTTGTCTGCTCGGGGTCGGCTCCTCTATCTCTTGCCAGAGATAAGAGTCGGCCCGGAGCTCCGCAATAAACCTCTTATCTCTTGCTGTTGCATCAAGCCGGTGTCTTGGAGTCTTGGGTCTTCGCCGTCCACTCGGGACAGAACAGGACCAGCGGTTGGGGGTCCTTCACTATTTTTTTTTAAATACAATTAGCTAAATGAAGCAAAACCGGGTGGAAAGAATGTTAAGGTGGATACTAGTGAGATTAAATTAGGTGAGGTTTATGTCGGGAGCCAAGGCAAGAGTCAAATAAGTGGCTGTCACCAGGCCTTACTCACATTAGACCAAAGTACCTGACATGTTTCCTAAGGGTTGTTCTCAAACAGCCTCATCAGTGTTTTAGGCACGGGAATGATGCCAAGAACAATGGACCAGGGTAACAGCCATCTACCACATTTTGAACTCTCCATGACAACATCCCATTTTTTCAGACTCAGCTCAGAGGAACATCCAAATGAAGACATGAACCAGCTATATTAACTCATAACATGTGTGGCACATGTCTCGATGCATTCTACTTCTTTACTTTTGGAGAATGACTGGTCTTACTTTCTGGGATGTATCTTTTTCAAGAACACTCTCTTTACTTTCAACACTCTTCTTTCTTGATATTTCCTGTTGGTGGTGTCCTCTAAAAAGGGTTTAGTCCATGCCAGGATTTTTCCCCCCAATAATACATTTGGTGTTTTAAATTATTATACTAGTTTACTTACAAAATTCAAATACATTGTTTTCCAGAACAGATTCTTCAATTTCACTCCAGGATTATTTTGAGCAGGATAAACAAACTGAGAATAATTGGACCAGGCTAAGACCAGATTTGTCCATGACTGACCTTCCTGTTGTCTGCTACCTGATTCAATTCTTTATCAAGTAGAGTGAGGTGGAAACAATGACACTGGCCATAGGATAAGAGGGACATAGAAAGATGAATTGGTTTGAAAAAGAGAAGAGATGGTTTGGAAATAAAAGACACTACACTAAGTCAATACACATGGGTTTTTCCTTCTTTTGAAATAACTCCATGATCAATGTGTTTCCAGTTTGCTTGAGTTTAGTTTTTTAAGTGAATGCTTATGAACATCCTGAGAAGAGCTATTATACAACTGAGTTTATTCTTTTTTCCCTTTACTCACAAGTCTATATTTTAGCTTTTAAGAAGATTGCTAGTATTTTACATGAATCTTACAATAGAGATCAAGGCAAAAAAAACCCAACCAAAAAAACTTCACATTATCCTTACTTTTATCATATACCTTAAAAAATATTTAAAGTCTTCAAATGAGACCTAACCAAAACAAAAAGAAATCATATGGTCTCCCGATAAATATCTAGCATAATCTGTAGGGAATTGTGCAGCCAACTTAAAGACTAAACCTCTTTGGAAGTTGAATCTAGTGGCTCTGTGGGAGAAAGAAGGACAATCTCTTTTTTTTTTTTCAATTTACAGTCTTGGAAACCCAATGGGGTGGAGGTAGGGGTGTGGGGGTTGGTGATGGTACTTTTGGGAGATGTGCCAGGTGTGGGAGTGAAGGTCAGCTAGTATTGATTCAGAATCACCTCTAGTGAATGAATTGAAAGTATCCTAAGGCTTTGCATTTGTGTGGTAATATGATCCGCTGGGGAGAACAATGAACTAGAATACCTTGGCAATGATTGTCTCACATTTAAATGAGATTGTTGAGTGAGAAATTCATTAGGATTATTCATTTGTTTCACAGATTCATTTCCCATGTTATCTCTTTCCCTTTGATTTAGTAGGTCTAGGGTGAGTCTCAGGAGTCTGCAAGATTATTCTGGTGCACATTACCTGAAGGTCATGTTTTGAGAAGTATTAAAAAATGATCATCCAAAAAAGGAAAAAAGATCCAAAAATACCTTCTGTTTATATTATTCTATGATAAGAAAAATTTATTTGACTTACCAAATTCTCACTCATCTCTCTTAAATCCTTAAATTGGTATGTGTTTTGTCCAGAATTGCTACTTACTCGTAGATCTGAAATTTTAATGGTACTATGAAAATACTCCATTTTATGGCCTATAAGGGAAAGGAAAAGTAAGAAATTAAGTGGTTAGAGTACAGATTTCAGAATCTAAATCCAAAGTTATTGGTCTAATTATAAAGTCTTAAAAATATATCACCAGAATTCTTTTTAATTGAGTTTCATGTAAAATAACGAAAATAATATTATCTTACATTGACTATCATATTCCAAGCGCTGTTCTGAGCAACTGACATTTATTAATTTGCTGGATCTTTACACTGTGTCTCTAAAGTTGGCATTATCTCTACTTTACAGATGAGGAAAGTACTGTATGGAGGTGATAAGTCACATACTCTATAGTTTTTTGCCAGTATACAGCATGTTGTTGTTGTTGTTATGTGCCATGGAGTCATTTGCGACTCATAGCAACCCTATGTACAACAGCCCTAAACCCGGCTCTATCCTGTGCCAATCGCACCGCCTCTGACACACCCATCCCGAGTACCTCTCAGTCACTGAATCAATCCACCTCATAGAGGGTCTTCCCCTCCTGCGCTGTCCCTCCACCCTCCCAAGCAGGATGTCCCTCTCCAAGGACCTGTCCCTCCTTGCAACATGCCCAAAGTATGCCAGATGAAGCCCCAGAATCCTTGTCTCCAAGGAGTTGCTTGGTTTAACCCTTTCCAGGGTGAATCTGTTTGTTTTCTTGGCAGTCCATGGTGCATTCAATACTCTTCTCCAGCACTACAGCTCAAAGGCATAAATTCTCCTTATGTCTTCCCTAGCCATTGTCCAACTCTCTGATGCATAACAAGTGATTGCAAAGACCATGGCCTGTATCAGGAGCACCTTAGTCTCCAGAGAGACACCGTTGCTCTTGAGTACTTTAGAGAAGTCCCTAACCACAGACTTCCCCATCGCAGTACATTTTTTGATTCCCTGGCTGCTGGTAAGAAGAGTGTTGACCGTGGAGCTGAGCAAACTGAAGCTGTGTACAATCTCAATCTCTTTGCCATCCATCCTGATGCTACCATTTGGTCCAGTGTTAAGAATCTTTGCTTCTTGACATTGAGCCTCAGTCCATACTGAAGGCTACAGTCCTTGACCCTGTGCAGCAGGTGCATGAGGTCCTCCTCAGTTTCAACAAGCAGGGTGGTATAATCTGCATAACGCAGATTGTTAATAGATCTTCTACCAATCCTGATGCCACAATTCTCCTCATAGCGCTCCGCCTCCCGGATAATCTGCTCTGCATACAGGTTAAAAAGATATGGAGATAGCACACATCCCAGGCGTACACCCTTCCCAATTTTGAACCATGCAGTGTTACCCTGCTCTGTTCTGACAACTGCCTCGTGGTCCAAGTATAGGTTTCTCATTAGTACGATTAAATGTTCTGGGATTCCCATTCTTCTCAGAGTCAGCCACAGTTTGTTATGATCCACACAGTCAAACGCCTTTGCATAATCAATGAAACACAGATATACATTCTTCTGGTATTCCCTGCTTTCGGCTAAGATCCATCTAACATCAGCTACAATATCCCTAGTACCATGACCCCTTCTAAACCCAGCCTGGACTTCTGGCAATTCTCTGCTGATGTGCTGTTCCAGTTGTTTTTGGATAATCTTCAGTAGAATCTTGCTTGCATGTGAAATCAATGATAGTGTTCTGTAGTTTCCACACTCTGTTGGGTCACCCTTCTTTGGAATGGGAACAAATATAAATCTCTTCCAGTCAGTTGGCCAAGTGGTTGTTCTCCAGATTTCTTGGCACAACTTGGTGAGCATATCCAGGGCAATATACAGCAAACCTCAATTAAATTTCCAATTAAGTGTCTGCTTAAAGTAGAGAAAAGTAATTGGCCTTGTAAATTTGGATTTGTAATGGGATAGCCATGATGGAATGGTATTAACAAAATCAGAATGATCAGAATTATTCAGAATTATTGTGAAACTGACATCAGTTACCTCCAGCCTACAAAACCAGTTACTTTGGCTTAGAATTATTTTCCTTTTCCTTTTTAAATCTTGTAAAGTACTTTAAACTGCCTGTTTACCAGGAGAGGAAATGCATCTTTTCTAGGTTAGCATTTACATCTTTGAAACTGTTTTTCTCAATCATATGTTAACTATTTCATGAGTTGTCTGTTTATTAGGAACTGTATGTATACTATTCTTTGCAAATGTAGAAATCCTGTACCTTTAACTTATAGAAGTCTAACCCGAGTATAATGCCCTAATGACCACTCCCAGACAGGGAGGCAGTTTTTTAGAAGATTCTCTCTGTCCTCCCAGATCTGCAATAAAGTTCTTTTGATGTTACAATCCATCTCTCTTATTGGCAATTGACTACAAAAAGGTCTTACTCCAGTACGAGCCCGACATTTTAAGAAAATACTAGGGGAAAAGCTGATTAAATGTGGATTTGAGAAGAGTGTATATAGGTATAAGTCAATAAAATCTCTTCTTTGCTGTCAGCAATGATGAGAAAACAGAGTAAGGGATAGATGAAAAATGTCCCAGTTCTGTCAGGGCTGCTCATTCCTTTAGGAAACTGGATAATGTCTTGATAAGATTACTAGATGATCATATCTTATAAAGCCCTGTGCCTGATTATGTATTAACAGAACATTTGCCCCAAAATTCCTGAGCACACTACCATCCTCTCTAAATCTCCTTAACCACCCCTCAAGTGCACCTAATCCAAGCCATGGTCTTCACAATTACTTACTACGCATCAGAGACTTGGACAATGACTAAAGGTGACAGAATAGCAATCAATGCCTTTGAGTTGTGGTGCTGACGAGTCTTGAACATCCTATGGAAAGCCAAGAAACCAAATAGTTCTGTCTTGGAAAGGGTAAAACTGAATTTCTCCTTGGAGGCTAGGATTTTGAAACTCTGTCTCACATACTTTGTGCACGTGGCCAGGAGGCACCTATCCTTGAAGAAGGGCATCATGCTTGGAAGGGTAGGATAGAGCAGGAGAGGTAGACCCTGGATGAGATGGATTGACACAGTAACTGGGGCAATTGGGGTTGGTGTGTTGGAATCAGTGAGACTGGCTCAGGACAGGGTACACTTCAGAGCTGATGTACATAGTGTCACTATGGATTGCAGGCAATTTGATGGCACATAACAACAACAACATAAGAAACTATTTTTGTCTTCCTGCATGCCATTCTGATTCCGTCTGTGAGAGACTACCTGGTGTTCCTCTCAAACCACTTAATAAAGACTTGCTCTTTTCTTGGGACAAGCTTCTTCTCTCTCTTTCTCAACACTTTACTGTCTAACAATGGAGACTACTAAGGAATTTTACAATTTTAAAAACAGGTTTAGAAAGCAAAGAAATGGCAAAGAATTAATAATGTAGCATGAAGCAGTTAAGAAATAGTTTTTCTTCACTGGGAATTTGGCCTGGTGTGGAGGCATTACAACAGATTTCTTTGCTATGAATGTACAAAAGAAAAGGCTTGTCAAGACAGTGTATACATTCTAAATAAAATATCTTTGGACCCTTAAAAATTTTTGTCAGTCCCAACAGCACATCAACAGAGAACTACCAGAAGTGCAGGCTGAATTTAGACTGGTTTGTGATACTAGGGATATTATAGATAATGTTAGATGGATCTTTGCTGAAAGGCAGGAATACCAGAAGAAGGTTTATCTTTGTTTGATTGGTTATGCAAAGATATTTACTGAGTCGATCATAACAAACTGTGGCTAACTCTGAGAAGAACGGGAATCCCGGAACACTTGATTGTGCTAATGCGAAACCTATACTTGGACCAGGAGGCAGTCATCAGAACAGAGTAAGGAAACACTGCATGGTTAAAAATTGGAAAGGGTGCATGTCATGCCAGTATCCTGTCTCCATACCTTTTCAATCTTTATACAGAACAGCTTATCCGGGAGGCTGGGCTGTATGAGGAGAAATGTGGCATCAGGATTGGAGGAAGAATCTTCAACAATCTGCATTATGCAGATGACATAACCTTGCTTGCTGAAACTAAAGAGGAGGACCTGAAGCACTTGCTGTGGAAGGTCAGGGACTGCTGTCTTCAGTATGGATTGAGACTCAATATCAAGAAAACAAGGATTCTCACCACTGGGCCAACTGGCAGCATCATAATGGATGGTAAAGAGATTGAGATTGTTCGTAGTCTTGGTTTGCTTGGATCCACAGTCAATACCCTTGGCACCAGCAGCCAGAAATTAAAAGTCTGCCATTAGAGACTTCTCTAAAGTGTTGAAGTGCAAAGATGTCACTCTGGAGACCAAGGTGCGCTGATACATGCCATGGTCTTTGCAATCACTTGCTATGCGTCAGAGAGCTGGACAATGACTAGGGATGATAGAAGGAGAATTGATGCCTTTGAACTGTGGTGTTGGAGAAGAGTATTGAATATAATACCACGGACTGCTAGGAAAATGAATAGGTTTGTCCTGGAGAGGGTGAAGCTGGGCTGCTTCTTGAAGTCAAGGATTCTGGAGCTTCATCTGACATACTTCGGACATGTTACAAGGTAAGATCAGTCCTTGGAGATGGATGTCATGCTTGGTAGGGTGGCAGGACAGCGCAGGAGAGGAAGACCCTCGATGAGATGGATTAATTCAGTGATTAGGGTAATAACAGGGGCAGGTGTGTCAGAGATGGTAAGACTGGCACAGGATAGGGCAGAATTTAAGGCTGTTGTACATAGTGTCGCTATGAGTTGCAGGCGACTCGAAGACACATAACAACAACAGTTAAGATCAAAGACCAGATGAGCTGTGGGAAGAAATCAAGAATATCACCCATGATGAACAGAGAAAAAAAAAGACCAAGATGAATGTCAAAAGAGACTCTAAATATTGCACTACACTGTGGAGAAGCCAAAGCAAAGGAAAGAAATAAAGATGTTAGAGTTGAACAGTAGATTTCTAAGTGCATCTTGGGAAGATAAAGCAAAGTATTATAGCAAATTGTCCAAAGAGCTGGAATCAGAGAATCAAAAGAGATCAACTCACTCAGTATTTCTTAAGCTGAAGGAACTGAAGAACAAATT